CGGCCGGGCCGAACGGGAGGCGCGGGGCGGCCGGGCCCCGCGTACGGAGCCGCGGGCCTTCCGCAGCAGCGGAGCTGGCGACCGCAGCCCGGGACGCGCGGTGTTAAGCTGCTTGTAAAGGTCTTATGGGGTGCTGGGGCTGTCCTCTCCAGCGCTGGGTGCACCCAGGCCGCGGCAAGCGGCTGTGCAGGTGGAACGCTGGGAGGTTTCTCTTCTCAGAGCTTGTCCTGCGCCCTGTTGCCCAGCACAGCGGCGTTCGGTGGCTCCTCAAAAGCTGACACAACGTTCCGTTAACGGGTAGAGCAGTGAGCTCACGGGGGTGCGGGAAGCCTTGCTACTGTCCAGTTCTCTTGCACCGCGGTCGGAATTTCTTCAGGGAGGACTTAGACAAGGTTTACTTCAGACCTGTACTTCAGGATGTGTTTGTCTCTAAGCTGTCAAACTGCAGAGCCCCAAGGCAGCCCAACAGGAGCCTGACACTCTTACAAAGGGGCGGTGTTGTCGACCTGGGAACTGAGATCTGTGTCTGAGAGTTCTTGCTCCTTGCCTACTTGTTGGACAGCCCTTGGTAACAATGGTTGGGGATGTACAAGATCTTTAAGGGCAGGGACTGCCTTATCCTGACAAAGTTAATTAAGAAGCTGACCTAAATGTCAGCAAGAAGGCTGGGTAGTCCAAGAGAACAAGATCATGTAGGCTGGTGAGTGCCTTTCTACCTTTTTATTGTTGGTGTGATAACATCTCTGACATGTCCAGGAGAGTCATCCAAGTGCTGCTATTAATACAACTGTCAGCGTTTGACGAACCTGGCTTGACTGTAAACGTGGCATTGGGAAGAAACAATATGCCTTAAAACAATCCTGTATTTAGTTGTGAGCTGGGGCCAGATTGACAGAAAACTCAATAGCCCAGAGCCTCGTCTGAAGCATCTGAGAGGTCTGTCACACCTGTGTGTATTTAGGAATAGGCTGATCCTGCATCTGCTCCATGGGAGCACTGGGAGTTTCATTGAGAGTAACACAGAGAGCAGAGAGAGAAAAGCAGGGATGGGTCTGCTCCTCTGGTGCTGGTCACAGAAAAAGACTTAAAACGGTGTTTAAGGAGGCTCAGTTGGCTGTGTGGGATAGGTGAGGGTGACAGGTAGTGGGAAGCAATCTGTGACCCAGGGGAGTTGCTAGGCTGGCTGAGGCTGACCTGTGCCCCTCGTCCCCACAGGTGCTGTTGGCAGCAGCCGTCTGCACGAAGGCGGGAAAGGCCATTGTCTCCCGGCAGTTCGTGGAGATGACCCGGACCCGCATCGAGGGGCTGCTGGCGGCGTTCCCCAAGCTGATGAACACTGGGAAGCAGCACACGTTCGTGGAGACAGAGAGTGTGCGGTATGTCTATCAGCCCATGGAGAAACTCTACATGGTGCTGATCACCACCAAGAACAGCAACATCCTGGAAGACCTAGAGACACTCCGACTCTTCTCTAGAGTGGTAAGGTCCTGTCGCTGAAGGCAGAGGTGGTTTGTGTGCAGCCTGGAGTGGTGCTGTTGTCAGGGAGCTGCTGGTGCTGAGCCACTGTCTGCCTCCAAATTGATTTTTCAGAGCCTCTTGCAGACCTGGAAGTCAGCTTTGAAATTTTGGTGGTATTTTTGAACTAAATGTAAAAAAATCCTCCATTGCAGTTCATCTGGTGAGACTAAATGGATTATGTTCTACATTTAGCATTAAATACCCTCTGTATTCTAAAGGTAACACCCATATTTCTACTAAAAATAACCTGTTGTTGCCGCCTGTGATCATTAGAGGTTCAGCGCTACTTTACCCATGTTTTTCAGCAGTGAGTTTGTGCAGCTGTTGTCACAAAACTAAAGGATCTTCAGGAAATTCACTGGCTGCAGTGTGTGTTTAGGTTCCTCTGAGTTAGTGTTACTATAAAGCTAAGAGGTTGAATAAATATTTTAGTGTAGAAAAACTAATAATGGTAAAACTTCATCTTGTTGTTTGTCAGTTATGAAGAGCAGCCTAATTGGTGCTGATCTCCTAGAGTGTCTGGGGATAGCAGAAAGAAGGTTTTCACACAGTATCGTCCACAGATGCACCTTTAAAATGTTTTCTCCTAACTAGATCCCTGAGTATTGTCGAGCGCTGGAGGAGAATGAGATCTCTGAGCACTGTTTTGACCTGATCTTTGCCTTTGATGAAATTGTTGCCCTGGGCTACCGTGAGAATGTAAATTTGGCACAAATACGGACCTTCACTGAGATGGACTCACATGAGGAAAAGGTTTTCCGAGCAGTCCGAGAGGTGAGTGGGAAGAACTGTGAGCCTGCTACCAGGTGCCCTGTACAGAGGCATAACTCCACTTGGGTCGGGGTCAGAACATTATTTACCTTTGCTGTAAACTCAGTGTCCATTTCTTGTTTCCTTTTTCCTGGCAGAGGGTTTGTGAGCAAACGCACTGGGTTCTTCTGGGGCTGCCCAGCTCACTCAGCCTCTTCCCTCTTGTTTCAGACTCAGGAGCGTGAAGCGAAGGCCGAGATGCGCCGTAAAGCGAAGGAGCTGCAGCAGGCCAGGAGGGACGCCGAGAGGCAGGGCAAGAAGGCCCCTGGGTTTGGGGGCTTCGGTAGCTCGGCCGTCTCTGGGGGCACGACAGCGGCAATGATCACAGAGACCATAATTGAAACGGAGAAGCACAAAGTGACACCGGCACCTGCCAGGTAAAAAGACATCCCAGCTACTGGTAATACTCAGAACAGAATCTAGATCTAAAGTATAACTTAGCACCCTGCGTGTAAGATCATCAGTCTCATGCACGCTCCCATCCTAAAAGGGGTGCAGAGGTGAAGGCTGCGTTGCTGGGATTAGTTGGGTTCCATAAAGATAACCAAAGAAGGAGGAATCTGTTGCCATGGTTTGGATGCTCTTGTGCCTTTTGTTCAGGCCTTCAGGTCCAAGTAAAGCCTTGAAACTTGGCGCTAAGGGGAAGGAGGTGGACAACTTTGTGGACAAGCTGAAATCGGAAGGAGAAAACATCATGACTTCTGTAGGCAAGCGCTCCACGGAAGCAGCCAAAGTTCTTGCTCCTCCTGTTAACATGGAGAGGTGGGTATTGCTTGTAAAGCAGTCTTCCCACAGCTCTCCTTGCCATGTCTCTCATCTTGCCTGTTACGTGCCAAGCATAGGGCTTGAGATCCCTGCTCTTTTTCTGTCTGTCTAGCGTGCACATGAAAATAGAGGAGAAAATTTCCTTGACTTGCGGCCGTGACGGAGGGTTGCAGAACATGGAGCTGCATGGCATGATCATGCTGCACATTTCTGATGAAAAGTGTGCACGGATTCGCCTGCATGTAGAAAATGAAGACAAGAGGGGAGTGCAGCTACAGGTAAAGCCTACTGGGTGTCCCATGCTGTTGAACGTGCTTTTGGCACTCTTCAGGGTAAATACTGGAAATCCTGGCGCATGCTGCTGTCCTGTGTTCTGGTCTGAGCCCTTTTGGCAAATGTGTTGAAACTAGGAGTAGTCCCTGCAGACGTTACTGCAGAGTAGGTGCAGCGCCAACTCCCGCTCAAAGGATTGAAGTTCACCTGAGAAATCTGGTCTTGTGCACTTGCATTCCAGCCCTTGGAGCCTTATCTATCCAGTCAGCAGCATTGGCATGCCGTCTGATTGCCTGGACTTTGCAGCAGCCTGCTGTGTCACTCCATGCTGGTTTGTGTGATGGGACCTTTAGTTGTGCAGTGGGAGTGTTCTAGTAAGTGTCCTGTGCCCAGGAGGAATTAGTTTGTTACCTAGAAAGCTGTTCCTTCTTGGGATTGCTCCTGTGCTGTGACTGGAGCCCTTGAGTGAGAGCATCTCAGAAGATCTTAAGAGATATGTCCTCCCCTTTCTCCTTCTCTGTGTGACCTTGATCCCTCCACATGGTACTGCTCTGCTGTACACTCGCTTCCTCCTCACCAAGACCTAGTCTGTCGGTGGCTAGCTGCAGGGCTACTTCTACAGTCCTAGGTTCCTTATCAGCACGTCTCTTGAGCACGTACCTAATGCTGCTCCCACATGCACAGCTTTGGGTGGAAGATGAAAGTCGGCTTGCAAAAATCCTTTGCTTCTAAAGAGAGAGTATTTAAATGGCATTTGGCTGCTGACACGTGTGTGTGTGTGTGTGTGTGTGTGTGTGTGTGTGTGTGTGTGTGTGTGTGTGTATATATATATGCGTGTGTGTGTTAAGGCTGCTGAGGGAAGTAGGTTTTTTTGGTTTTTGGATGTTCTTCCCAGTAGGACTGATTTATTTTTTTTTTCAAGATAAAGGTCTATTGTGGGTCTTCAGGGCTATCTTGGAGCTGTTAAGAGTTGTTAAAGCTTTTGTGTTGGTACCAGCATTGCTGGACTCTGTAAAAACTGCAGTGGTGTGAATTCCTCTTAGATCAGCATTTTTTGGTAGGATCCCAGGTAGCAGATGTGCTCCAGTTGGGCTTCTGAGCTGGGAGCAAAACTGATGTGTGTTTGGTCAAGGAACGCATTCCAGGATGCATAGGCCCCATTATGTTAGAACATGGAGTTACACCATGGACACGTGTTCCCCTTTCAGACTCACCCAAATGTGGACAAAAAGCTCTTCACTGCGGAGTCGCAGATCGGTTTGAAGAACCCGGAGAAGTCATTCCCTATCAACAGTGATGTGGGTGTGCTGAAGTGGAGGTTGCAGACCACGGAGGAGTCCTTCATTCCATTGACAAGTAAGTGGAGCGTGCTTCTGGGGGCTAGTGTTCATTCATGGGCTGATGGCTCCTGGCTCCCCTTACAGCACCTGGGCCATGCTGGAAGATGTCAGAGGTACTGCATGTCTCCCAGTGGGTAGTACCTGTTCTTGGCAGTGTGTGCTTTGTGTAGTGCCCTTGAAGAAAAGCTTTTCCTAAAGTCAGAATTTCTTAGGGATGACTTTTGGAAGCACATTATCCCTTGTAAGCCTGTTCCACATAGCAAGCCCATGTGGCTCAGCAGGCTGTTTCTGTGCCCTCAGTTAACTGCTGGCCCTCGGAAAGCGGGAACAGTTGTGATGTTAACATTGAATATGAGCTGCAGGAGGAGACCCTGGAGCTGAATGATGTCGTCATCACCATCCCCTTGCCGTAAGAAACACTCCTTGTTTGGGTAGTGCTCACTGATGCTGTCCTGGATCCCCCTGGTTCCTTCCCCTCCCCGGTTTGCAGTCTGGCCATGCCAACGGGCTGGACAAGCATTTGTGTAGCTCTGTGCAGGTCACCTATTGTAGCTTCTCATTGCCTGCTCCAGGTCTGGTGTGGGCGCCCCAGTGATCGGGGAGATCGATGGTGAGTATCGCCATGACAGCCGGAGGAATCTCCTTGAGTGGTGCCTGCCAGTGATCGATGCCAAAAACAAAAGTGGCAGCCTGGAGTTCAGCATAGTGGGGCAGCCCAACGACTTCTTCCCAGTCCAAGTCTCCTTCATCTCCAAAAAGAACTATTGCAACATACAGGTATGGTCACTGCCAGTGCCTCGTAGGTGGGATGTCAGTCTTGCCTCTCTCAAGCGGCTTTTCAGCTTCCCAGAGCTTGCCTGTGCTTTTGGTTCTGCCTTTGTGCCTCTCAGTAATAATTAATTCCCCTGGGGCTTTATTAGGGAATCCACCCACCTTCAGAGCCAAACACTTCTGGGCACATGACTATCTGTCTGTCCCCACTCAGCTGGAGCTAGCAGCCTCTGCTGAACTCCTGGCAAGCTTCTGTCGGCACAGACACAGTTACCACAGAAAATCATTCCCCTGTTTTCATGTTTCCTGAGAACCAAGATCTTCCTTTTAAGGCTGACTTGTGGTTCGGAAGTGCTGGGTTGGTGGTGTCCTTATGACCATCACAAGTCGGAGGGCGCTGCGTGGCAGCAGTGTTCCACACGGAAATAACCCTGCCCTTTTTCTCCACAGGTTACCAAAGTGACCCAGGTAGACGGGAACAGCCCTGTAAGGTTTTCTACTGAAACCACCTTCCTGGTGGACAAGTACGAAATCCTGTAATAACAGCCATGGGGAATCACAAAGGAAGAAAATTTTAAATTAAAAAACAAACAAACAAACAAAAAAAAAACCAAGAAACAGAAAAAGAGGCCGAATGTTTGAAACTCCGCAGCCCCCTCTCTGCTCAGACGCGTGGCTCTGTCTGCCATCTGCAGCGTTCCTGGGTAACAGACGTTTTTGGCAGAGAATTTAATTGCTCATGGGGGGAAAGGCTACAAATTTCTTTGGCACATTTTTACTGGCCCACAGAAGAGCAACATCTCCGTGGAGAACACGGCCTTGACACATCCCTTTCTCTCCTGAAGACAACCAGAGCTTATCCCAGCGCCTACCAGGCATGGTTCTCTCCCTTCCCAAAGCCTCATGCGCTGTTCCGTTGGTGCTGCCATGAAAATTTCTTCTTGGTGTCCACCTCATCTCTGTTGGCGAGTGCAGGAGTCAGGGTAATGTGCGTGGGGACGCCTCGCTTCTCCACACCCTTCCGTCTGGTAGAAGAGCAAATTTTCCTTGGTTCTGAAGGTGGGGAGCTGTGGGACTTGGGGTGGGGCCCTTCAGCCCCCACGGTTACTGCTGTCCGTCCAGCCTTGCGGGGCAGCGGTGGCCCTGCAGCTGCTCTGGGGCTAGGCTGTGGGGCAAGGTAGGTAGGTAGGTTAGAGTCAGCCCTGGGACCCTGTTGGTGTCTTATGGGGCTGAAGGCTTCACTTGCCACTGTGCAAGCAGCTGTGGAGACCGGGTTACTGTGTGCCAGGACCTGTCCAAAACTCATGTTCTTTCTCAGCACTTGTGGATGGAGGGGAGGGAAACACTGGTTTCCAGAAAACGTGGGCTGATCTAAAAGTGCCAGAGCAGAGCTCCTCCTGCTGCCTCACGAGCATTAGTTGCCTCATCTCACACAGTCGTGCTCCACTAAATACTCGTCTCACCTGCCCAGGTCAGGGCTTGTCCCTAAAAGTGTGTGGCCATCAGCGAGGTCTGCAGGGGAGCACCAGCTGCTGCTGCAGGTCCTAAGCACACGGGGAAAGAAAGTGCCCTAAACACCTGTGTACTGTGCTCCCGAGAGCTCTTCTGTGAGAGTGAGCCTGTGGGTTCCCCTGGGGTCTTTGCCAGAGAAGTTTGTGGTCTGTCCTGCATCAGCAAAGAAACTTGGTCCTGGGAGGGCGGGAGAGCAATCCCTGTTCTATAGCAAAGTAGGTGATGAATCCTATTAACTTGGTTCTGTTCCAGAGCTGCTTGTCTGTATGATTTTAAAATGGAGTCCAGGTTAGTTCAAGAATCCGAGGAGCTGCTCTTTTTTTTTTTTTCCTGAAATCTGGGAGGGTGATGTTTAAACCGAGCCGAACTCCCCCCTTTTTGTAACCCCCTGTTCGATACTGGCATAGGCACATTCCAGTGTACACAGAATTCTCATCTTTAATCAATAAAGAGTATTGTCAAAGGAACTGTCTGAGGGTTGTGGGGTCCCTCAGAAGCTGGCGGGGTCCGCCCCGTCCCCTCCGCCCCTCGTTCGGCCCTGCGGGGCGGGACGGGGCCGGCGCCGGGGCGGGGCAGGCGGCAGGAGCGGCGGAGTAGCCCGTCCCGCGGCGGCAGGACCGGCGGAGCGGAGGTGAGCAGTGGAGGGGCTGGCACCTGGAAGGGAAGGCGGTGGGAGGGGGGCCCCAGTTTGTCTTCCGGGGCGGCTCTCCAGGAGGAGAGTGAGCAGGCGGGAGAGCAGGAAAGCGCCGTCACCCGTCAAGCCAATGCGCCACAAGGGGTTTGGGGTGCACGAGTAGGTCAAGGGCTGGAACCAGGTCCGCCTTGGTGGGCAGTTTGTTGGTTTGGGAGCCCTTAGAGTAGGAGGCTTCAGCATCCCGAATGAGAGGCTTTGTCATCCCAAATCCTGCTGCAGCTGCTGAGCAGCTGCAGAGGAGACGGTGCTTGTCCCCAGGCTGCCCCTTGGTCCCTGACGCCTCTCGGGGAGCCTGGGAACGGCGCTTGCCTGGCTGTACCCTGCTCTGTGCAGGACCTTGTTTATTCCCCGCTTCCTGACACGTTCTTGCCGCAGCCCCTTTGGCTGTTGCCAGAAAGCCCAAGGAATTTGGCAGCCTCAGAAGAGATCCAGCTGTTGCTCCAAAGGGCCCTGGCTTTCCCGCTCCTGTGGCTGCTCTAGGAGCCCCCAGCCCTCGCTGGGCTCTGGGCAGGGGCTGCAGTGGGGTAGATGGAGGGATTTAACAGATGTGTAGACGTGGTGCTGAGGAATATGGCTTAGTGGTGGCCTTTGCAGTGCTGGGATAACAGTTGGACTCAATGATCTTAAAGGTCTTTTCCAACCAGAATTATTCTATTGTAGTAAACATCCTGAGGCAGCACACAGCCCAGGCAGCAGCGGAGCAGTGCTGCCCAAGTGCTTTTTCGGCAGTTCCTGTATGTTTGGGTTTGCTGTGTGATGCTGTATGCTGGTGGGCAGAGTGCCATGCAGGGTGGTGGAGATGCAAGTTTGTGTGGTGAGGTGATGCTTTGCCAACAACCAGAAAGGACTGAGTGGTGCTTGTTTTGGAGAGGTGAGGTTCACCCCTACCCCTCTCCCAGGAAACACAGGGCTGGGTGGTAGGTTTGTGCCAGGGACCCAATTCCAGACCCACCAAATTTATCCTGTGCTGTGGTCCCTGAGCTATCACTAGCAGGAGCTGCAGATGCTTCCCTCTGAGGTGAGCCAAGCACCTGACCTGCAGGTGAGAGGCCATTGTTTTCTAAGAGAGGGCTTTGAGGAGTAAGTCTCCATGGTGTGGCCTTAGGAGTGGTGGTGGAGTCAGTGGTAATGGTGGTTTCCCTGGCTGTGCCATGATGGCTGGAGGCATGTGCTGAAACTGGGCTCAGTGCCTGAGCTCTGGTGGCAGTTGGGACTGTGCAATGTGTCACCAGCCCTCGGAGCTGGCTCATCTTGGGGAGCATCGGGTGCAGGAAGGCAGGGACATGTACGGCCCCCCGACCCAAGCACATGGCAGGCATCCCCCAGCCCTCGGAGTGCAGCTGTGCCGCTTCCCGGGAGAACTGAGATCAGCGGGCGCGGCCGGGATTCCTCTGCTCCCGCTGGAGCTGCCTGGCGGCTGATTTACGGTGGTGTTATTGCCAGAAGCGTTGTGTTGTCCCAGCAACGGTGCTGCGGCCCCC